TCTGTTGCTCCAAAGCCCTAGAGAGTTGCTGCCTGTCAAAGTTGTCATGCATCCCACATCTCTCCATCTGTCAGTTCCAGACCAGGATAATTAGCTAAGATCCACTGTATGCAATGTCAAATACGGAAAGAGTTTTTTTTTAAAGGCAGCTGTTTTAGTACAGGTAGTCCCACCATGAGATGGAGTTGGCTGGTTTCAAGTGGCAGAGTTGCTAGAAGAAACAAATCTGCCATTCTCCCTCCCTCCTTATCTGGAGATGTGCTTGGACGTGTTACTGATGCTTCTTCCTCCTCCTTATCTGGTAGTGAGGAACAATGTCTTCCTGCCCTCCCAGCATCCATCCTCTTTGCTTTTCACCTCAGGTAGCAGAACAACTCCCTATCCCAGTGCTCCTTGCACTTTGGATTTTGTGCACTTTGGATTTCGTGGAGTACCGTATTTTTCTGCGTATAAGATGATACTTTTATCTAAAATATTTAGATTAAAATTGAGGGTCATCTTATACATGGAAGTAAGGAGGGGAAGGGATCAAAGTGCTTTGATCCCTGCTTTCCCCTTCCACTTTCTTGGCAAAAAGTGGAAGGGAAAGCAGGAATCAAAGCACTTTGATGATTCCTGCTTTCCCCCTCCATTTTCTTGTGAGGAAAGTGGAGGGCAAATGCCCTTCCCTCGGAATTGGAGGGGGAAAGCATGAATCAAAGTGCTTTGATCCCTGCCTTCCTCCTCCATTTTCTTGCGAAGAAAGGAATTTTGGATTAGAAAATTTGGGGGGGGGCTCTTATTTATTTATTTAATTATTTATTTAATTTATACATGAGGACATCTTATACATAGAAAAATACAGTATATCCTTTTCACTCATCCTATCTTGCTCTGTGGGTTATTTTCTGATTTACAGATTATCCTCCAGGAATGTCTACATTAGCAGCTATTTGGATGTACACTAGTCTAGAAGCCTCCATGATTAGAAATGGGCACAAATCAGAAATATGGTGGTTCATGTTTACCTGTAACCCTATAAACCCTATAAAACAGCCACCCATGCACCCCAAGACACCAAATTTGCAGGGAAGTTTCCCCTGACTCTCCTCTACACTCCCTCCATGTCTGGCAAAGATTAGGTTTCAGACATAAAAGTTATATACTCACAAAGTGGGTCCCCCCAGAAAAGTGCTCTTTAGCAGCTAGCATGGGGAAACCAAATCTTCACCAGACTTGGAGGGATTGTAGAGGAGAGTTGGAAGAAGCTTCCCTGAAATTTTGGTGTCTCTAGGTGGCTGGGTGGAACTTTCCTAGGAGGCCCTCTTTGTGGGTGCATAGCTCAGACATCTGAAACCCAATCTTCACCAGTCTTAGAAAGATTGTAGAGGAGAGTCAGAGGAAGCCTCCCTGCAAAATTAATATATCTAGGTGCTTTGGTGGCCATTTTATAGCCAAACAAATCAACAAATCAAAAACTGCTAAAAATGCATTGATTTGTGATTCATCAGGGGCATTGATTTATATGAATGCAAATAGACAAATTGGTGATTTTTGAATGAATTTGATGATTCATTTTTTAAATTTGTGCCCATCTCTATCCATGATCCAAAACGCGATGTGTACAAATCCAACTGTAACTTAGAGTGCAACTATACAGCTAAGAAAATACGGTTTGATCTGCTGTGTATTTGCAGTTTATCAAACAGGGTTTCATTGGGTGAATTGCGGTAGCCATATGGACAACAGATTTTCAGGAGTCCCCAGGGCAGGGGTAGGGAGGTCTGTTTGCATGGAGGCCCAACATCAGAAGTGCTTAAGATGCTTATTGACCATTTCCACTACCCCCCTCTCTTTTTTAATTTAGTTCTCTTGTACTCTAGCAATAGTGTGTCCCAGTGCTGATTTGAACCTTTTTTAGAACAACAATGTGGAGACTAAGTGGTCAGTCTCCGAGAAGGACTTTTTGCCTTGTTCTGAATTTTATGTTGTGTAGTCATCAAGTTTTAATTCAAATTCATCTGTGCCCAATCTGATATAAACTGCAGGGTAAAAGGCCAATGCCGTCCCCCACTCAGAGAAAGGAACTTAATGTAGTGACTGAGTACCTGCTTCAATGCAGAATGTTCTGGGTTAAAGGCATGACTTCCCCATTGGAAGTGGTGGGCATCTCCTCCTTCTGAAACCCTTACTGTTGCCTCTCAAAGAAGACGGTACTGCCCTAGGTGGGTTGCTGGTCTGATCTAATAGAAAGCAGCTCCCAGCATTCCTAATTTCTTAACAAGAGCAAGATGAACTCAAGTTGTGTTCCTATGAAAGCCTTTCACAAGTGTTCCCCGAGGGTTCTGCAGTCTTTGAATTTTGTAATTGCAGAAATAAATTGTTTATTAGTAGTTTTTACTCTTTGAAAAATCTTGGTAGGTACTCCAAAGAATATCCCATGTTTTAAAATGGGATCCATGTGTATGGCAGTATACAAACTGGCAGTAGGAATTTAATCAGCAGCTGTAAAGCAGTAGAGTAAACCAAGTGGCAGCAAGAGTCATATGAAAGGGTCAAACTTTTCCCAAACCTGATTTGCATAATGAACACATAATTTGCCATAACGTGGGAATGAGAGGAATTAGAATATGGCAGATCTAAAATCTGACTGCCTTGGATATAATTGCAAGTAGTGTAAACATTGTTTTAGCTGTCAGGAAATGAAATCCTGTATGAGATTTTTTTTTAAACTTTTGCAGCAGTAAATATTCATTCTGGAAGGTAGCGAGGGGAGCAAACTGAATCATCGCTATTAGGCAGTAACTGGCATTGGATCAGAGCATGATTTGCATTTTGAACTGTTTTGCTGCCCTGTTCTTTTTGGGTCTTTGTGTGTCTGTGCAATGCATAGAAGTTCAAATACTAATATTTTCTCTTCAAATTAGAAATGCTTTCTTTCCTCAATAGGTCTTTAATCTTGCTGGAGCCTCCTATCCTTTCTTTGCAATGATCATAAATTGTGACATCTGAGATAAGAGTTCTGGTTTTCTAACTTTTCAAAAAGAGCTCCTGTCAATGTGGGTTGTGTTTTTTAAAAAAAAAAAATCTTCAGAATACATTCCAAAGAATGGGTGTAGAACAAATGTTATTAAGCTATAAACATTCTTGCCTGTTCATGCTTTCAAGAGACAAAATGACCTGTGGTGAGATAACATCTAAATGGACAGGAAAGTGGATGAAAGAACTTTGCAAATCTCTTTGCATTACATTTTTTGGGTATTTAATTGGTTCATCTCCATACAGTTATGGTAGTGGAAGATCTGTATAGTATTTTCACAATCGGTGCCTTCCTTACCTGAAACATGGTTATCTTAGAATTTATTTCACACTTGCTGTTTAACAAAAATAAAGTAATTGTACTGTTGTACTTTTAAGTCATGCTGAGATAACGTTCAAATAACAGTGGCTGTATCCTGGTTCATGTCGTATAGGTGGCACAAAAAGGACATGCTGCCTCATTTTTAGTATAGTCAAATATCTTTTGGGAAAACCACAATGTTTAATATCAGAGAGATGGGTAGTTTTCATGATGTGATGTGAAGGATTACTTCAGAAGGTGATGGTGCAAACCAGTTTGCACGTGGAATTAGTCATGTAATTTATGGGCCACCTGGTCAAAAATTGGCCCAAAGTGATATCCTTTCTATTTAAATGTTTCATATGAGGTGTGATTTTGATAAAAGAACATGGACTGGTGAAGGGTATGGATGTGGATCCTGTAGTCACAAAGAAGAAAACAAAAAAGCATTCTTTTCATCTGAAAGATAGATTTTTCTATGCAGCTGTTTTGTTTTATTTTGCCTGAGAAATATGAAAGAAAATCCTGTAAGATTTGTCAGAAGTTTTGCAGTCGTTTTTTTCCCCCTAGGGGGAAAAATGCCAAGTTATTTATGATTATTATAATTCCTGGCGTCTTTCCTGTGCAGGTTTCACTTGGAAAAGAGAGAAGAAACACCAAGCCCTTTTCTCCAATTTATTTGTCAGAAGTTTTGCAGTCGTTTTTCTTTCCTGGGGGAAAAATGCCAAGTTGTGTATGATTATTATAATTTCTGGCATCTTTCCTGTGCAGGATTCACCTGGAAAAGACAGAAGAAACACCAAGCCCTTTTCTCCAATTGGATTGCCACTATGTTGGTTCTATGTAAGACAGTTTCCTAGTATTCTAGCTGCAGTCCTTGTTCAAGAATGTTAGACTCAAAGAGTCATCTTTACATCCACGAACTGCCACCTGAATTTTAGCCGAAAGTATAAATTCAATCCAGACATGTACAAAACTATAAGTCCTACTTAGTTTAACTTCAACATTGGATGGTGATGGTGGGAGTAGGAACATGGTACAGCAACCTATGCCCAAAAGCATGCACTTAAAAAGTATATGTGGAAGGCCAAAGGTTTTCAAGTCATATGTTACTTGATTTTGTTTTTATTTGTTTAATTTAAACCCAGAGATGCCAGGAATTGAACCCAAACCAGTCTGCATGCAAAAGCATGTTTCTTAATTACAGTACTGAGTTTTGATCCTTCTCCGAAAACATCAGCCCTCCTGACTGCAGCTGTACCAAGGAGATAAATGTATGTGGTTAATATGAAAGTTTGCCCTTTTTTTCTCTGTTTAGACTTTGTCACCTCTCCAACTATGGTCTGGCTTTAGGGGATCAATATGCACACTGTGTAACTTATGGAAACCTAACCCTGACCGCACAAAAGAGAAGGCAAGTGAGCGCATGAATGCAAATGCACAGATTGTGTGCATGGAATCATTATTAGGAAGCAATGAGTTTGGTTGGAGTCAGATTACCTTCAAGTTATATGTTTGCTTTTTAGTGGGATGAGCTGCCATACAGCTGGATGATTCTTCAACAGAAGTCTGCAGATTATTTTCCAGATTGTTAGAGCACAACAATCTGCTCCTGCTGTGATGAAAATTAAACTGCAACGGACATAGGCTGATGATTTCTCTCTCTCTTTTTTTTCTTCAGGCAGAATATGAAGTTACTCCTGATGAAAAACTGGGAGAAAAAGGCAAAGAAATTGTGAAGAAATACCTCGTCCCAGAGGTAAGGAACCATCTAAAAAGTGGGTACTAAAGCAATGCAGCAGGAGAATTGCAAGCAAAGTATGGCAAGGAGAGGTGTGGGTAATAAGACCAAGATCCGATCCATTAAGAGAAGAAAAAAATGCTTGCTTTATTCATTTTTAAGTAATGGTTTATTGCCCTTCACTAATTAAATCTTAGTGTGGTGGACTGCATTAAACAACAATAAAGATAAAGTTACACTCAAAAAAATAAACAGTAAAAACCAGTTTGGAGTTCCATGGTTGAACATCCCCACCCTCTTTCCTCATCCACGCTTCACGACACCATGCCCATGAAAAAGAAACCCACAGCAAGATATAACCCGCATTTTGTGTATATAAAAACACCCTACATTGCCTACAAGATACTGAAATAAGAGAGTTTTTGGAGGAATGTGGCATTGTCCACTTTAAAGAAAAGTACAATTTGTTGGCTTATGTGTTGAGATAATATGTTTTCCACAAGAAGAATCCTATTGAGCAATGCTGATGGTAAAGACCTCCTGATTAGCCACTATATATAACTTTTCACATTTCCCTTCCCTCGGGACTCAAATAATTTCTTGCATTTTCTTATTTTTCTTATGATGTCAGAAAGATAGCCAGAATTCTCCTTTTCTCTTCTGCAATCACTTTCCATTCACTCTTGTGTAGAGGTCATGACACTCAAGTCGCTTTGAACACTTACAGTTCTGTGAAGGAATGTGTGACGGTATTTGATGAGCTATTTCTAATCATCATCATCTTAGAACTGCAGAGCTAGGGCTCAACTGGATGATTCTGATCCTGGGTACTTATATTAGGAGAAAATGTGTTAAAGAGTATCCACTAGGTGGCATTCCTACCAGGCGACAGAACATCACCAACAAAGCAGAGCTGCAGCTGGTTGGAGTAAACATTATCTTGGCTTTTTGTTCATTCACTCTTCACCTCAGGACAGAAGGTGTCTTCTGCCAAGCAAGAAGTGCTGAGCTTTGAATATATGGATTTTCATAGGTTTTCAAAGGAAAAATGGAATCTCATGATAATTACTCAAATTCCTTTTCAGCAAAAACATGTTTGACCCTGAGAAAAATGTCTTCCCTTAAAAAAAAAAAGCAACACCGTCCCATTTAACATTTAAATGGTACAATATGCTTTGGCAAAAGAAGAGGCAGATTTTTTTTTACTTTATTTGTTTAGTCAACGGTTTTCCTACCATAGATTTTTCACTGGTTTACATTTTCTCTCAGGAACCTCTTTGGAACCTGTTTTCATTTATTTAGTCTGGTTAATGTCAAAAACACTACTTCACATTGCTGCCTACTTCCCATTCATTATGAGTACGAAAGCTGAAGCCCTACTGGACTTTGTTGTACCGTAGTAGCATTCTACGCCATAATGGAAGCTGTAAACTAGAGAGGCATACTGACTGAACAGTTACAAAGGTTTAGTGATTCGTAAGAATGAATAAATTTCTCTTCATGATTTTCTGATGCCTTTATTTACAGTGTGATTTCATGTCCCTGAAAGAGAGCCACTGTTCATTCTCGGAGAATTTAACGCTAGAGTTGGTGCTGATCATAATTCTTGGCCCACTTGTCTAGGCCATTTTGGCATTGGAAAGATGAACGAAAATGGCTAACGCTTGCTGGAGTTTTGCTGTTATTATGGTCTTTGTGTCAGCAACACATTCTTTAACACAAAGCTTCAACACAGAGTTTCTTGGAGACATCCAAGATCCAAATATTGGCACCAGCTCCATTTGATCCTCACTAGACGTTTTAGCCGTCCTAGTATTATGATCACACACAGCTACCAGAGTGCTGATATTGTATCACATGAAAAGGGAAGGAAGACCACGTATTGACATCAGCAAGATCAAAGAAAAGTGGAGGAATTTGCCCAAGCACTTGAGAAAACTCTTCCAAGCCCGGTTGATGCAAATGTACCTGAACGATGGGAACATTTCAAGAACACTGTGTACAACACCATCTTGTCCACATTCGGCAAGAAGACCAAAAAGATGGCTGACTGGTTCGAAGCCCATTCGGAGGAGCTGAGGCCAGCTATCGAGAAGAGGAGAGCTCTAGCAGCATACAAAGCCTATCCTCACATGTCCAACTTGTAAGCTCTTCGAGCTGCTTGTAGCCACGTCCAACAGGTTGCCAGGAGATGTTCCAACGATTATTAGCTTCACCTCTGCTCTCAGATACAGATAGCGTAACATCAAGGGAATGTATGACGGGATCAAGCAGGTTTTAGGTCCAATAGAGAAAAAAATCTGCTCCCTTGAAGTCTGCTACAGGCGTGATCATCCAGGACCGAGCACAGCAGAAGGACCTCTGGGTGCAGCACTACTCTGAGCTATATTCCAGAGAGAATGTAGTAACCGAAGAAGCATTCAATAACATTGGGTGCCTGCCTGTCTTGGAAGAGTTGGATTGAGAACCAACTTTAGCAGAAATAAAAGCAGCCTTGGATTCCCTTGCCTCCAGCAAGGCACCTGGAAAGGATCACATCCCTGTTGAAGTGCTGAAGTGCTGTAAAGAGATCATCACCACCGAACTGTATGAAGTCTGTCATCTTTGCTGGAGGGAAGGCGGAGTACCACAGGACATGAAGGATGCAAACATCGTCACATTGTACATGAACAAGGGAGACGGGCGACTGTAATAACTACCGTGGCATCTCTCTTCTCAGCATTGTAGGGAAGCTGCTTGCCCTTGTTGTGCTGAAGAGGCTCCAGGTGCTTGCAGACAGAGTCTATCCAGAATCACAGTGTGGATTTCGAGCAAATAGATCCACCACCGACGTGGTATTTTTCCCTCAGACAGTTGCAAGAGGAATGTAGGGAACAACAGATAATTGTTGAGATGATGAGGTGTAGAACTGCTGGATAGCTCAGTGGTTTAGGTCTCTGGCTACAGAGCCAGAGATTGGGAGTTTGATTCCCCACTGACAGGTGCTGGACTCGATAATCCATAGGGTCCCTTCCAGGCTCAAAGGCTGTTGTTGTTGTTGTTGTTGTTGTTTGTGTGTCTTGCTTTTGCAGCCAGGTGTGTAATGAGGCATGTAACTGAGGCACACCTTGGCACCTCATCACTGAACTGCAGCAGATTACACAAATTTGATGTGAACGCCAACAGGATTCTAAGCCATTGGAATCCAGTTCTGACTTTCCCTCAACAGATTTTTTCTGGCAGTGAAAAAGAATTTTAAAAAGGCAGTGGGAAAATAGAGGAATGTTATAAATGGGAGACCTCCTCCTCTGGAAACGTACACCACTCAGTAAAATTCAGGGAATGGGGCAAGGCAATTGCAGAACAAAAACCTTATTTGGAATCATCCTACAGTTAGTTGTAAAGGTCAGAAATTGTCTGATTTAATTTAAAGGTAACTGTGTGGAAAATACTTGCAAATATGCAGGTTTTAGAAATGATTTGCTAATCCCAATTCATTGGAAATTTGATTTATTTTTTGCTTAGCACATTATAACAGTTCAGTACAATTTTAATGAATATTTCTCATGTTAATCATTGCCAATCATCCCTGTGCCCTCTGCTTAGAAAAACTGCCTCATGCACAAGCAGAACATGATTTGCTATTTATTTTGCTAGTAGATGGTTTCTTCAGTGCAAATAGCTATAAGAGTATATTCTCTTAATTCCTAATTAAATCCTATTATTTCCTGAGTATAAAATATTACTTTTGAAGGGAAAAATATTTCCATAGTATGGTTCAGTTTATTAACTGAACAGTCTTGATGTGTGGCATTATATTTATAAAGTACTGAAATTCACCTTTTCCATTTACTTCTTCTTACAAAATAAAATTGTGTCCTTTATCAATTTTTTTACAAAAATACTATTCCCACTTCCAAATCAGTGCAAGCAAAATATCTATGAAACAAAAGGATGTGCTGTAGCTATTTAGGACAGATTGATGGTGGTAGAAAGAAGATGGGAAAAAAAGAGAGTAATATTAAATAAGTTGTCAAATGAGATCTTATGAGATCCATTGCAAGGAGAAAGAGAGGGAGAGAGAGATGATAGATCTGAACAATCATATTTTGGCTCAGTCAAATTAGTTTGCACCAAAGAATGTTCCCAGACATGTTGAACACCACAATATAGGCCAGCTGATGTATTGTGAGATTGGTGGTCTATCCAGAAAAAGTATTTCAGAGAAGCCATTTGTGTAAATCTCACAATTTATTTTTTTTAAAAAAATGAACAAAATGATTATTTTAATTTAATGGCTAAAATCCATTATTAAGTTGCAATTAGAGTAGGCTCACTGAATCTGTGAGGAGTTGGTGAGTCAACTTCTCCATAGGTTCCACTGATTCAGTGGGCCTATTATAGTTGCCACTTAGAGCTGAATTTCAGCCAGTGAACTAAATCATTTCATTGTACATGTTTAACCATAAGGGATTAATCTCCCAATTTTTAATGTTCAACATTAACAATCAGTGTATGAGCCTGTCATTCTAAGCTCTGGAAATATGTATAGGTGCATGTGTAGTTCAAATCCCATGAACGTTCCTGACTTGGGTCTCATATTATTGTGGCAGAGCTAAAACATTATGCCTTTCTGCCCTCTTCTGCCTTGTCAGGAAAGATAATGCAGACGCTGCTGTCTGCATGAGAGGGATTTCGTTGATATTCTTCTTTATGCTAGTGCCACTTTTGTAGTGGTTGTGTTGTTCTGTTTTGGTAGTTGGATGCAATTGTTCATTGTTCTCCAGAGCTTTAAAACAGAAAGGAGGACACAAAACAAAATACAGATGTGAGGTGCTTAAAACTAGAATGCCAGTTGCGCAACTTTACTTTGAAGCATAAGGGCTAGGGAAGGAAAAAGTGACTGTGGAAGCATTTTACATAGGTAAAGATGAAAAATGTTAAGTTATACATCAGTTAAAATGTGTTGCAGATACAGAAGGATTGCCTTGTAGAAGGAAAAAGTGACTGTAGAAGCATTTTACATAGGTAAAGACGAA